GGGTTTGTTTGGGACATTTGTAGGTACTTATAGCGCGTTTTGATTTCCGAAGAAAATTTCAGAGAACCTATAAACCGCCTGTAAGCGCACTGAGCAGCTTAGCTTTTTAGGCACCAAATTGAGTAAGAATTTTTCACCCAATACTCTGTTATGGAATTGAAGTTTAATTTTAAATAATACAGTATTTTGTGAAACTTATAAAATATCTATAATTAATTACGTATTAATGGAGTCAGAACCGGAAATTATTCTCTGGGGATGGCAGGTTCGTAAAAGGGTTTTCTAGTCTAGCTGCTCCTCTGACTCGGCTCACAAAGAAGAATGTCAAGTTTGAGTGGAACGAGAACTATGAAAGAAGTTTTTCAGAACTAAAGAAGCGACTGACTACTACACTTTTGTTGGCCTTGTCGAGTGGATCAGGTAGATATACAGTTTGCAGTGATGCCTTCTATCTAGGTTTGGGTTGTGTTTTAATGCAGCGTGGGAAGGTCATAACCTCTAGGTCCAGACAGTTGAAGAGTCATGAGAAAAATTATCCCACCCATGACTTAGAGCTTGCCGTAATTATTCACGCCTTGAAGACTTAGCGCTATTATTTGTTTGGGGAGATCTTTCAGATCTATATCGATCACAAGAGTTTGAAACACATATTTACTCAAAATGATCTCAACATACGTCAGAGAAGGCGAATAAAGCTTTTTAAGGACTATGATTGTGATATCCTATATCACCCGGGTAAAGGTAACGTGGTAGCCGACGCGTTCAATAGGAAAAGTGCAAGCACATTAGCCTATTTGATGGTTTTAGAATGTAGGCAGATAGGGGTCGCACAGCAGGTACGACTTCAAGACCTTAAGAGAGTTACATGTTTGAGCCACCTGACTGTTCAGTCTGAGTTAATTCAGAGAATAAAAGAAGCTCAGTCTACCAACTCCACCCTAGCGACCTTCAAGAAAGATGCAAAACAGAGAGTTAACATAGAATTTCGAGTCTTCACCGATGGGTTACTCAGATTCCAAGACGGAGTGTGTTCCAAGTGACAGTGAGTTAAAAATGGACATTATGACAGAGACCCATAGCTCAAAGTTTGTCATGCATCCCAGAAGTACTAAGATGTATCAGAGTATGCGATCTCGATTTTGGTGGAACATGATGAAAAGAGATATAGCTGTCTTTGTTTCTAAATGTTTAGTGTGTCAACAAATCAAGGCAGAGTATCGACGCCTAGGTGGGCTACTTCAGCCATTACTAATCTTGGAGTGGAAGTGGGAACAAATCACCATAGATTTCGTGACAGGATTACCTAAGGCACACTCATGACATGATGTCATCTGGGTAATTGTTGACCGACTTACTAAGTTTTCTCACTTCTTGGCTATCAGGATGACCAATTCCTTGGACAAGTTGGCAAGAATATATATCCGGGAAGTAGTCAGATTACATAGGGTGCTAGTGGCAATAGTGTCCATCCGACAAGGACCCCAGGTTCACTTTTCGGTTTTGATCTAACCTTCAACAAACTATGGGAATGAAATTGTCCCTTAGTACTACATTCCACCCTCAGACCGATGGGCAGTCAGAAAGAACAATCCGCACACTTGAAGATATGTTCCGAGCTTGTGTTCTTGAATTCGGAGGCCATTGAGATGACCATCTACCCCTGATAGAGTTCACTTACAACAACAGTTACCAAGCAAGTATTGGCATGGCTCCGTATGAGCCGTTATATGAGTGCCCATACAAATCACCGATTTGTTAGGAGAAAATGAGTGATAGAAAACTGTTCGAACCAGATGTGATAGAGGAGACTACATCCAAAATAGTTAAGATCAGGAAGAACATTCAAACGACTCAGAGCAGGCAGAAGAGTTACATGGACACCTGAAGGAGAGACTTAGAATTTGTAAAAAGAGGGAATCAGTAGGTTCGTCAAGAGGAGGAAACTGAATCCCCAATTTATTGGATCATTCAAAATCGTAGATAGAATTGGTACTGCTGTCTACAAACTGACACTGCCTGTAGAACTTTCCAGGGTCCATAATGTATTTCATGTGTCCATGCTGCACAAGTACAACCCAGACCTCTCTCACGTCTTGACTCACGAGCCTCTTTCACTCCAGGAGGATCTATCCTACGAAGAATTACCTGTCGGCATTGTGGACTGAAAGAGCAGATTACTCTGGAACTGAAAAATTATCTTTGTTAAGGTCCTATAACAGAATCACACACCGAGAGAGGCCACATGGGAGCTAGAATCAGATTTCAAAGCCAAATATCCTCAGCTGTTTGATTGAGAGTGAGAGAGACAAATTTGAGAGACCAAATTTCTTTTAAGGGAGAGAGAGTAGTAACACCCTAAATTAATTTTTTGTAATTTAGGATTTTATTATAAATATAATTTCCTAATTTTTTTAATTTTAATTTAGAATAAAAATGAAATAGAATTGATGGAGAATTAAATTGAAAATAATTTTTGAAAAAAAGGTAAAAATTTGGGTTATATGGGTATTTTTGAAAGAAAAATTAAAAATTAAGAGTCAAATACAATTTAGAGAAGTTTCGCCACGTCAGACGCCTGGTCGACAGGCCTGATGAATCAGGGCACGCCGCGTGGCAACAGACACTGACACGGTGCCATGCGGGAGGTCACACAGGCGATTGCGCGCCCGCGATCAAACGGCCCAGATCCGTTTCTGCATGCACGGACAGCCCAGATGCGTTCTCTCCCCAAACGCGATCGGATGGTCAGATTTGAATGCGATCGAATGGTGTAGATTATATCGCGATGGACGTCCTAGATTGGACCGCGATGAATGGTCCAGATTCACTCCCTATTTAATCGCGATCGGACGGTTCAGATCAAATGCGATAGACGGTCCAGATCAAAAGCGAACAGATATAAATAACCGTCATCCACACCAAACCTTAACCGTAGCCGCCAGACCCCCTCGCCAAAGAAGAAGACCCGGCCGCCGGGAAGGAGACCGCCGCCGCACCGGAGCCCTTTCCGATCGCCAAAAAAAGTAAAAATCTCTCTTTTTGCTCCGAATTCAATTTTAAACACACTTATGGCCAAATCAGAGCAAAAGAACCAGCTGATTGGTCGAAAAACGTGGGCAAAACCCGACGGTGCTGTCGCGGGGAATTCCACAAAACGCCTCCGATGAGGCCTTTTCTGATTCCCGTTCTGCATGATTTTTCCACCGTTGTGATCACCATTTCCTTCTCTACAGGTTGACCAGACAAAACACCCAATTGCAACGCGAGTCGTAGGAGCCGCCGCACCAGAGAGCCCCGTCGCTAGTGAGTTTTGGTTTTTTGTATTTTTTCGACCAACCAAGGCCCCTTAACATATTTTTTTGCATGGATTGATGCGAAATCGACCGAAAACAATCGATTCGAAGCGAACCGACGCTGCGGGCGGCAGCCCCATCGCCGGAGCACAGTGGAGCCACCATACCGGAATTTCGAAATTGGCTAAAATGGGCATTGGGACTAATTTTGGGTTTGTTTGGAACATTTATAGGTACTTATAGCGCGTTTTGATTTCCGAATAAAAATTCAGGGAACTCGGAAACTGCCTGTAGGCACAGTGAACAGCTTAGTTTTTCGTTTACCAAATTGAGTAAGAATTCATCACCCTATCCTGTTATAGAATTGAAGTTTAATTTTAAATAATATGGTATTTTGTAAAACTTAAAAAATATTTATATAATTAATTACATGTTACTAATAAGTCAGAATTGAAAATTATTGTCTGTTGATTTATGTTACAGTGTAAGTAAATAATAGTATCTTATTTATCAATTTTATGGTTTAAATGCTTGTATTGTTGTCTTACGTGACTACTGTTAAATTGGAAAACCGAAATATGATTGCATTCTCTGATGCATATTTGTTTGTATATGTGATTACGGTTAATTTGGAAAAATAGAGACTAAAGAAAAATAGAAAAATTGTGTGATTAAGTGAATTGATGAAATGACAATTTTACTGGATATTGTAGGAGATGGGGGACAGACTGAGTACAATAGGGAACCCTGCCGTGAACGTTGTCTCATACCGGACGGAGTATCGAGACTTAGTAATTTAGCACTCATACCAGATGGGGTATGGGGATGGCCCGTTTCACCCTCATACCGGATGGGATATTGAAATTTATTTGTTTGGTGCTCATACCGGACGGAGTATGGGAACGACACTTTAATTAGAAATATTGAAGAAAATGGTTCATGCATAGCGGAAACATACCTATGAACCTCCATGGATACCAGTAGGCCGGTAAAAAAAAATGTTGTTATTTGATTTATTAAATATAGATTTATAATATGTGCCTGTTACCAATTGCATATGAAATCATGATAAGTGTTATGTTATTGTCTCTATAGGTTGTTTTTATAAATGTCACTGCGATAAGTGGATGGTAAAAGATTTTAGTTATCATAAATAAATTTGTTTAATTAAGTGCTCCATTAATTATTTTGATTTTTTTCCAATCTTCATTTTTGTGTTGGTGATATAGTGTGATATTCTTACTGGGGTAGTGTATCTCATCCTTTATTTAATTATTTCAGATTAAAATGATCAAGATCTAGAGTCTTATCCGTAAAAAGGTTGTGAATAGAATGCTAGTTTTATTTATTTTCCGTTCATGTCCTTGTTTCTTTGTATTTCTTTCAAATGGGTGAATTCCAAAATACAAATTGGTATTTTAAGTTATTGTGTAAGAAATGTAAACTTTAAACATTTATTTCGCTTTCGCACTTTAATTATCATTTGTTTCACTTGAATATTTTTGGATTCGTTACAGTAAAGATGTTATATTTACTATTAAAAATATTTATTTAATTGTTTTGATCTTTCAGTCACTATCTGAGTCCTTTTCATAATTCATTATTAATTTTAAGATGAATAAAATAAATTATGCTCTTTATGAGATGCTCAATATGTTGATTGATTATGGGAATCAAATTACATCTGAGAAGAAGAAATGAGCTGTCATGTTAGTTGACAACTCTTCTAATAAGGGTAAGGGTAAGAAGAAACCCAAGAAGAAGCCCACTGCACCTAAGGGTGGTATGACTAAACCTGAAGGTAAGGGAAAAGCTTACCAATCTGATGTTGAATGTTTCTTCTGTAAGAAGAAAGAGTATTGGAAGAGAAACTGTAAGGAGTATCTTGCATATCTAAATGACAAGAAACAAGGTGAGACCTTAACGAAAAGTGTTTCCATGATTTTTTTAACTTCTATTAATCCATCTATATGGGTATTAGACATCAATAGTCATTTTAACATTTGCAATACATTGCAGAGACTAAATTAAGAGAAGATTAAAGAAAGGAGAAGTTAATCTTCAAGTTAGGAATAGTGCACAAGTTGCGGCCCTAGCTGCAAGATTAATTTCTCTTAAGATACCTACAGACAAAATACTTTTGTTGGAGGATTGTTATTACGTTCCTAAATTTGTTTTGAACATAATTTCAATATCTTTTTTGGACCAACATAGTTTTCATATTATTTTGAATAATGGAATTTGCTTTATTTATGTCTTACCTGATATGAATGAAAATTCAATTTTGCATGTTTCTAATCTTAAGAGAAAAATAGATGATCAAGTAAATTATACATATTTTTGACATTGTAGGCTTGGTCATATTAGAGAGAAAAAAATAAATAAGTTGTACAATGAAAGTTACCTTGACAAATATGATTATGAATCATATACAACTTGTGAATCTTATCTCAAAGAAAAAATAACCAAATATCTATTTATTGGAAGTAGAGAAAGAGCTTTTGAATCATTGAGACTAATTCATACTGATGTTTGTGGCCCCACGAAAATTCAAGCAAGAGGAGAATATTCTTACTTTATTACCTTCACTGATCATATGTCAAGATATAGATTTGTGTATCTTATGAAATATAAATTTGAATCTTTTGAAATGTTCAAAAGATTCTATAGTAAAGTTGAGAAACAGACTGACAAAAGTATTAAAGTGCTAAGGTATAATAGGGGAGGAGAATATTTTAATGATGATTTTACCAGATATCTCAAAGAGAATGAGATTCTCTCACAATGGACCCTTCCTAGAACACCACAACACAATGGTGTGTACGAAAGAAGAAATCGAACCTTATTAAATATTATAATATTAATGATGGGGCTCACAGATCTTCCAATTAATTTAAAGTTACGAATTTGGGCTGTTCAAAAAATTTATATTTGAACTTTTCACAATTGGCCAGTCCATCATCCACATGTTTTTGAGTGAAAACTTGAAGCAACTCTTTAAGCTTCTTTGCCTTTGATCTTATTACTGGTCCGCTGAAACTTTTCAGATTTGGAACTCTATTTGTGTTCACGTCATTTAAAATTTGCTCTAAGTCACCTTTTGTTGCTCTTTGAGTATCTTGAGTGTTTTTAGCCTTGTTTGCATCAGGTAGATTAAAATCTAAAGCCGAGAAGGAAAAATGTTATGAATGGGGGGAGCAGGGTCACTTTAAGAGAGATTGTCCCAAGTTGAAAGAGAAAAAAAGAAAGAAGTAAGAGAACTCTACTAATTTAGTTAACGACAATAACTCTGATGATAGTGATAGTAGTAGTGATAGAGAAGTCTTATCTATGAGTTCTGATCATGGAAAGAATTCTTGAATTCTTGATACTAAAGCATTGTTTTGCTACATACAAACAGATGGATGGTATTATATACATAGGCAATAATAGTCCATTGACTGTAAACGATATCGGTGACATCATATTAAGAATGTTTGATGGAGCTATCAGAACTATTGAGTGTTGGCATATTCTTCAGATGAAGAGGAACTTGATTTCTTTTTCTACTCTAGATTCTCAAGGATACAGGTTTCATGCAGAAAATGGTATTCTGAAAGTGTGCAAGGGTTCAATGGTATTCATGAAATGCAGTTTGGAATCTAGATTATATATTTTTCAGGGTAATACAGTTTTAGAGAAAGTTGTTGTAGCATCATAGAACAATGATCAAAATTAAACTAAGTTGTGGCATATGCATCTAGGTTATATGAGTGACAAGGGGCTTTCTGTGTTGGGCAGATAGAATTTGTTGAATGGTTATAAAGAAGCTATGGATTTTTGTGAACATTGTGTGTTTGAAAAATAGACTAGGGTAAAGTTTAGCAAGCAGGCAACGCACAAAATTAAGGATAAGTTGGATTATATCCATTTTGATTTATGAGATCCATACAAAACTTTCTTCAAAAATGGTGCTAGGTATTTTATGACTCTGATTGATGGTTATTCTTGGATGCTTTGGGTATACTTTCTGAAGTCTAAGGAAGATGCATTTTCAACTTTTGTCAAAATAGAAGACCATGATTGAAAAGTAGATAAAGAGAAAGATCAAGTATCTTAGGACTAACAATGAGTTAGAATTTTACAATCATGTGTTTGATGACTTTTGCAATATGGAAAGAATAGTGAAATACTACACTTGTGTTGGGACACCATAACAAAATCGTATTACAGAACGCATGAATAGAACGCTTTGTAATAAAGCACGAAATATGTTGTCTCATTCAGGCTTGGGACATTAATTTTAGGTAGAAGCTGTGAATATTGCTTGTTTCTTAGTTAATAGATGTTCATCCATAGCTATTGAGTGCAGAAATCTTTTTGAGGTATGGTTTGGTTCACCTACTAATTACTCTCAATTGAGAGTATTTAGTTGCCCTGCTTATGCTCACATAAGAGATGGTAAACTTGAGCTGAGGGTAAAGAAATTCATATTTCTAGGGTATGTTTCTAGAGTGAAAAGTTACGGGTTATGGTGCAGTAATTCAAAGTTTTCAGAGTTTATTATCAGCAGAGATGTGATATTTAATTAGTCTGCTTCACTAGACAATCAGAAAGAGAATGTAATAGCATAATCAGATCCTGATGTTGGAGAACAAGTGGAGGTAGAGGTCGAGACTCTAGCACCTCAGTTAAACAGAGTATAAGGTAGTACTAATGATCAACAACAGTCTTATAGCATCATAATAGACAGGGAGAGAAGACATATTAGACCATCGCAGAGGTATGAAAATCTTGTTGCATATGGCTTAGTAATTACAGAGACATTTTTTTTACAGAACTTGGAAGTTATAGTGAAGCTATTTTCAGTTCAAATGCATATCAATGGATTAGTGCTATGGGGAAAGAAATTGAGTCACTTTACAAGAATCAGACTTGGGAACTCAAGCCATTGCCAAATGGAGAAAAGATAGTAGGTTGTAAATGGATTTTCAATAAGAAGGAAGACATTCCAGGGGTAGAAGCGCCGCGATGCAATGCTCGATTGGTAGCTAAAAGTTTTACTCAACGAGAAGGGATCGACTTTAATGATGTGCTCTCTCTAGTTGTGAAACATAGTTCCATCATAGTCTTACTTGATATGGTTGCTTTTCATGATTTAGAGTTGGAGCAGTTAGATGTAAAAACTATATTTTTACATTACGAATTAGAGGAGCAGATCTATATGAGTCAGCACGAGGACTTGTCATTCCAGGCATGGAAAAATATGTTTGTCAACTTAAAAAATCTTTTTATGGTTTGAAACAGTTGCTTAAACAATGGTACAAGAAATCTTATATATTCATGAGACATAATGGTTTCATCCGTAGTGCCTCTGACAATTGCGTGTATCACAAGAGACTGTCAGATGATTCTGCTATATATTTGCTATTATATGTAGATGACATGCTTATTGTTATTAAAAGTATATCACATATTGATAATTTAAAAAAGTAGTTGGGTGAAGAGTTTGACCTAAAAGATTTGGGTACTACAAGGAAGATACTGGGAATGAAGATTACTCGGAGTAGAAGTGCTGGAAAACTTTTTTTGTCTTAGCAATCATATGTTGAGAAGGTATTGCAGTGTTTCAATATGAGCAATGTAAAGCCCGTAACTGTTCCACTTGGTACTCACTTCAAGTTATCTACAGACATGTCACCGAAGATAGATGAAGACATGGAGCATATGTCCAGTGTTTCATACTCGAGTGCTGTAGGTAGAATCAAGTATGTCATGGTATATGCTCGTTCTGATATTTCACATGCAATTAGTGCAGTGAATAGATACATGGTGTATCCTGGGAAACAACATTAGCAGGCAGTAAAATGGATTATGAGGTACTTAAATGGTACAATAGATATGGGTCTGATGTTTGATAAAATCAAGATGAATGATTCATTTGTAGGCTATGTGGATTTAGACTTTGCAGGGGATTTGAATAAGAGGAGATGTTTGACAAGTTATCTATTTACTCTATTTGGAAGTGTTATTAGCTAAAATACAACGTTGCAAGCTACAGTAGCCTTGTCTACCACAGAGGTTGAATATATGGCTCTAACAAAAGCAGTAAAAGAGGTTATTTGGCTACAGGGTTTGGTGAGTGATCTTGGGTTAACACAGAAAAAATTGACAGTATTTTATGACGAGCATAGTGTCATACATCTCACCAAAAACTAGATATGCCATGAGCGAGCAAAGCATATTGATGTCAGATATCACTTTATCTGGGACATTGTATCACAGGGTATCATAGTTGTGCAGAAAGTATCTACACAGGAGATTCCTGCGGATATGATGACACCAAGGCAATCCCAATTAGTAAGTTTAGGCATTGCCTATAGTTAGTTGGAGTATGTAATACTCACTAGTGCCCTCGAACGAGCAACATAAAAAAAAACCTAGAATGCTCCCTAGATATAGATTTGTTAACCTATATGTATTGTACTCTCTTTTAATCATATTGAAATATTTTTCTTTCTAATCTTACACGTGGATGTACGCACATTTTCGAATCACGTAAAATCCTGCGTTATTTTCTTTTCTGCTTTTACTTTGTGTTGTGAATACTTTAGGGATTAATTTTTTTAAAATATATATATATTAATGTATTCAATTATTGTTTATAAATATTAATATTTTATGATGATGTGGCTTAATGTAGTAACACCGATGTCAAGCTTTATATATCAAACTTTACATATATATATATATATATATATATAAGATCAAAGATTAATTATAATAAATTTTATTTTTTAATGACATTTTATGTGAAAAAAATCATATGTAATATTAAATATAATGAATATTATTCGATAATTATTGCTAAAGAATAAAAGAAAACTTTTAGATACTTTACATTAGTAATTAATTTTTTTAAAAAAAAAAATG